GCGAGTCAGAAAACAACTGTGGACCTTCATTAGTCTGGTTCATACTTGGGAGCAATTTCCAAACTCCTGAAGGTTCAATGTTCATCTTGACAAACAATACTATGCAAGTATAAACACCATGTGACAACGCAGCCATCATACTGCTCAGGAAGGAGACACATTCCGTCTCCTAGAGATGAACGCATTTTGGTCCAAACAGCAAGATAAGATAATCACCTTTATTTGGCCAAGTAGGTTACACACAAGGAAATCGTTTCCGGTACAAAACCTAGGCAGCCATATAAAAAGACAAACTGTGGTTTGCAGCTGCACATGGAGACAAAGACCTGACTTTCTGGTCTGATGAAAGAAAAATGGAACTATTTGGCCATAATGACCATCGTTATGTCTGGAGAAACAGGGAGAGGCTCACAAGCGGAAGACCGCCATCCCAACCATTGAGCACAGGGGCGGCATCATCATGTTGTGGGGGTGCTTTGCTGCAGGAGGGACTAGGGTGCTTCACAAACAGATGGCATCATGAGGAAGGAAGATTATGTGAACATACTGAAGCAAGACATCAGCCAGGAAGTTGAAGCTTGGTCACAAATGGGCCTTGTCCAAATGGACAACGAGCCCAAGCAGACTTCCAGAGCTGTGGCAAAATGGCTTAAGGATGACAAAATCAGGGTATTGGAGTGGCCATCACAAAGCCCTGACCTCCACCTGATAGAAAACTTGTGGGCAGAACTGAAAAAGTGTGGGTGAGCAAGGAGGCCTCCAAACCTGTCTCAGTTCCACCAGTTCTGTAAGGAGGAATGGGCTAAAACTCCAGCTGCTTATTGGAAGAAGCTTGTGGAAGGTGTCCTGAAATGTTTGACCCAATTTAAACAATTTAAAGGCAACGCTACCAAATACTGACCGAGTGGGTTAGAGATTAAGGGTTAACTTCTGACCAACTGAGAATGTGATGCAAGAAATAGAAGCTGAAATAATAATATAATAATAATAGTAAAAGTAATCTTTTTCTCTACTATAATTCTACATTTCACAATGGGGGTTGACTTTGTGCAGCCAGGGTTTTGGTTCTCCTACTCTCAATGCAACAGCTCTACCTACGCACTGGTCACCTCCCTCCTGTAGGCTGTTTCGTCCCCGCCAGTGATGTGACCTATCACTGCGGTGTCATCCGCGAACTGTATGATGAAGTTGTCTTTGAGGGAAGCGACAGTTGTGGGTGACCAGGGTGTAGAGGATAGGACTGAGGACACATCCCTGTGGGTTGCTGATGTTTGTGATAATGCTGGCTGAAGTCCTATTGCCAATCCTGACAGTCTGGGGCCCTGTTGGGCCGGCAAGCATACTGCAGGGGGTCCAGGGTGTCTGGTATACTGCTCTGGATGTGGGCTAGCACCACTCTCTCAAAACATTTCATAATGATTGGGGTGAGTGCCACTGGCCTGTAGTCATTCAGGCAGGTGACCGAGCTCTTCTGGGAAGGGGGACGATGGTTGTGGCCTTAAAGCAAGTGGAAATGACACTCTGGCTGAAGGAGAAATTGAAGATGGTGGTGAGAACATCAGTCAGCTGGCTGGCACATGCCCCAAGAGCCTTCCCAAGGATGTTGTCCAGTCCTGCTGCTTTGCGGGGGTCGATCTTCTTCAGGAATGTGCGTACCTGGGCTGCTGAGACAGTTAGTGGAGGGGAGGTGGGGGGGGTTGGGTGGTTCAGGTGTGTGCATGCTTCCTCTCTGGGCAGTAGCTGGAGGTCTCAAAGAAATGTGGTCCGAGCATCCAAGGTGGGGGCGGGGTGTTACCCTGTATGTTACTGTAAACATGATCCACAGTGTTCCTGCCCCGAGTGGGAATGTTCACATGTTGGTAATATTTGGGAAGTACGGTCCAAAAATTGCACTGGTTAAAGTCGCCTGCAGCAACAAAACATAGCGTCAGGGTGAGCCGTCTCTAGCGCGCCGATGACGTCGTGGAGTTTTCTGAGAGCCGTCGATGGATTAGTTCTTGGGCTAACATACACAGCAGCCAGAAACAGAGCACAGAGAGAATTGATCAGTCACATTCCCCTGCGAAACCCTAATAAAATCCTTTATTGCTGTTATATTTAAAGATGCGAATCATCAGTGTGAACTCCATACCGGATCGGTCGAGGCCCGGATTAACAACGACCGCCACCAGTGCTGTTGACCTACAGGGTGCTGGCGGAAATTGGACTACTGTTGGTCGAAGAAGGAGAGGAGGTAGGAGTCATGGACAGAGAGAAAAGAGGAAAGGCAGGAGTATAGGTCTGAGAATAGGGACTCAACGTTGGCACAATGACAGGGAAAGGTAGAGAGCTGGCGGACATGATGGAGAGAAGGAGGGTAGATATACTGTGTGTGCAGGAGACCAGGTGGAAGGGTAGCAAAGCATGTAGCATTGGAGGGGGATACAAACTGTTTTATTATGGTGTGGACAGGAAGAGAAATGGGGTAGGAGTGATCCTGAAGGAGGAGCTCGTGAGGAATGTTTTAGAGGTGAAAAGAGTGTCAGACAGGGTGATCAGTCTGAAGTTGGAAATTGAAGGAGTAATGTTGAATGTAGTCAGTGGTTATGCTCCACAAGTAGGGTGTGAGTTAGAAGAGAAGGAGAGATTCTGGAGTGAGTTAGATGAGGTGATGGAGAGGTGATTGGGGCAGACTTCAACGGCGTATTGGTGAGGGGAATAAGGGTGATGAGGAGATGATTGGCAGGTTTGGTGTTAAGGAAAGGAACCTGATGGTGGTGGACTTTGCTAAGAGGATGGAAATGGCTGTAGTTAACACCTACTTCCAGAAGAGGGAGGAACATAGAGTTACATATAGCTACGGCTCCTAGCAGAACTGATAACTAGGCTGGAGCTAGAACATCCCGACTCTCCACTCATTGTTCTAGGGGACTTTCACAGAGCAAATCTCACACACGAACTGCCCAAATACAGGCAACATGTTACCTGTCCCACCAGGGACAAAATCACACTGGACCACTGCTACACAACAATAAAAGACACCTATCGCTCTGTCCCCCGTGCAGGCCTCGGACTCAGATCACTGTATGGTCCATCTTATTCCAACGCACAGGCAGAAACTTAAAGTTGTGAAGCCTGTAGTCAAAACAGTGAAGAGCTGGACTGAGGAGGCTAAGTCAGAGCTACAGGCCTGCTTTGACTGCATAGACTGGAGTGTATTTGAGACTGCAGCTACAGACCTGGATGAACTCACCGACACTGTCACATCTTATATCAGCTTTTGTGAGGATGTGTGTGTGCCCAAAAAGACCTTCTGCACATACAACAACAAGCCCTAGTTTACAGCAAGACTCAAGCAGCTTCGTCGTGCCAAAGAGGAGGTTTACAGAAGTGGGGACAGGACTCAGTACAACCACGCAAGGAACACACTGACAAGGGAGATCAGAGCAGCAAAGAGGAGCTACTCTGAAAAGCTGACAGCTCAGGTTTCAGCCAACGATCCCTTGTCTGTGTGGGGGAGCCTGAAAACCATCACTGGCTATAAAAAACCATCCCCCCCCCCCTTGCTGGTGAGGACTGGCCTGTGTAGCTTTCACTATATGCTTCGGGTCATGGTCTTGCTGGAAAATAAATCTTCTCCCAAGCAAACCAGTAAATTCCCAGTGGCTGTGTGAGTTGGCGACATCTAGCAATGCCTGTCTGTTGTATGTTAGCAGTGCATGACATTTGTGCACTGCAGAAATTTCACAAATTGTGAGACTACTACTGCGGACTTCCAGCGCCGACAGCGATGGCGGCCATGGTTACTCGCGCTCTCTTGTGTTTGTTGTTTTAATTTGTTTTCTTTGTCTTTTGCAACTCATCCCGGATTACTTTTACCAGAGAAGAACTTAAATATCAGACAACTCACACTGAACTACCTTCCTCCAATTTTTATGAACGACGAATGCTGTATGGGCGTTCTGATTGG